TGAGCGAATGTATGCTTTGATTTGGGAGTCAATGCGTGCACTCAATGTCCACTCCATTGCTGTCCACTAATGCCGTAACCCTTTAATTCACTCGACTTTTCGTACGGGAAATACAAGTAAAAAAATTAAAAACAAAATTAAAGGGTTAACCAAATGTTTATCATAGTCTAAATGGAAATCACGTAATCGAGTGGACAGTTAGTCTAACCCCCTGGATAGGTGTTGTCGCATACATAAGCCCCTGTGGGTCGCAACAGTCAGTGGGTGTGTGTTTGACTGCCGGTTCCCACTCCCCCTCCCCCTCCAGGAGTGTCACGTAATTTATAGACGAAACGTATTTACAAATTGTGTGCAAATGACGAGAAAAATATTGAAAGTGTTATTCAGTTGTGAATTGTTTTCGTTATAATTAATTACAATTAAAACATGTATTCAGACGTCGATTACAGTGAACGCGACAAATGAATACAATCGTGTGAATCAGTTGTCGAGTGACAATCCTATCATTAAATAGCTGAACGTGTGTGTCGTGTTTCAAAAGCAACAAGCAACATTGTGGCCACCATTTGTTACACAGCATTACGATTATAATCACAATTTGTATTACAAATCCATTTCTAGTAATTTATATACAATGAGACAAACAGTCGTTACGTTCAGTCATACGAGTTGTCAGACATTTATCACTCATTTCCTCGTATTTATTGCATTGATTTCATTGTGTAAGTCATGCTATGAATTGATTACAATTTATACTGAATTTAATTAATGGTTTGATTATCTCCTGAATGGACAGCAAATGGCGATCGCATTAAACCCAAGATTTATAAACCCGTTGAAAGCAATTACTTTTGCTTCAGACGCCTGAACGCCACGCATCAGATCGGATGCAATTGTATGTCACCACTGGGTGTCCACATCCATGTCTTCACTGTCTAACCATTTGTTATCTCTTAATGACAGCCAAAGAGGGCGGAAACGTTGGTGTCGTTCACGTAGTCAACGATCAGACAGACATCGATCACGTGCTCAAAACCGGTCAACACTACCCATACATACCTGTGATTACAGCGAAATATTTTAAATTGTAATCAATTTTGTATTTAACCATAATGTCTGTGCCTTAAGACTAACTGATCCACGCATTTGCAGAGATATACTGAATCAGTTCAAGTCATCGCCCAAACGAATCACTGGTGTATTAGTGGTCGACGAGAAGCGGACCTCAGACGTGACCGGCTTATCGCCCGACAAGACGTGTCCCAACGATGGCTTTGGTCTCTACGCCGATGATACCACTTATGGTCACTGCGGACAACAGGAGTGGAACTCTGCTGGCGAGTCCACACTCAAGCACAACGACGGCCTTATGTTCAATGACTGGCCTTTCCCTATATTTATGGTCAGAAATGCCACTAATATTGAAGAGATTAAAGATGTGAGTATTGAATGTGCACAGTTATGTAACTCAATGCCTGTAGTGATTAGATACCGGCGTCCGGAAGTACATTCCATTAATGATTAGTAATAGTTGTTATGATTATTAAAAATGTTTTGTAAATTAATTTTTAAATTAATTCAGTGTTTCAAACGCTATGGAGGACCCGAGTACCCACTCTGTGGTATACAACTGGAGGCGCCCATGAATGCGGCCAAGGATTCCGTGGCGTGTATTCGCCGGACACACCTCCAGAAGAGCTCGTATTCGTTGAGTCAAAGTATGGCATTATTTTTGTCGATAATTTTGTTGTTTGTATTTTAATTGTGATTATAACTGATGTGTTGGACAGCCTTTTATTGCGACCCATTGGGCGGACATAATATATTCAGTACATTGTTGTGGACATCGAAAAGGGATAAAATATCCAACGATTCAGTCGTTGTATTGTCGGCCCGTTTGGACTCGTTCTCGATGTTCGACAACGTGTCGCCCGGCTCTGACTCGGCCCTCACATCAGTGGTTACACTACTGGCCATTGCGAAGACACTGAATGATTACAGGAGTGATATCCAGCGACTGTCAAACGATAAGAATATTCTGTACGCCCTGTTCGACGGCGAGGCCTTTGACTACATCGGCTCCAGTCGTGTGGCCCATGACATGAGCGCCGGTAAGTTTCCCGTGGATCCCAAGTCAGACGGAGACGTGGCTCAGTTGAGAAGCGAACAGTTCTCGCATTTCATTGAATTGAATCAATTGGCAGCCCATGGAACCGATGACACCATTTATATTCATAAGAATCTTAAATCAAATGAAGCGGTCAGTAAACTGGAGGGTTTGCTCGAGAAATACGCGAAGAATATTCGCAACTTTAAGATGAGTAGTATTAGTGACGGCCGACCACTCCCTCCCTCATCGGTGCAGACATTCTTAAAGCAAAACAATGCGATGGGAGGTGTGGTGATCGCCAACCATGAGAATGAGTTCACGAATAAGTTTTATAACAGTATTTACGACGACATTCAGAATGTGAACCCAAACGACGACAAACTGTTGGCCACAAGACTCACAAACGTGGCGACAGTTGTGTCGAAAGCCGTCTACGAGCTGTTGACTGGACAACAGCGACAGCCAGAGATTAGTGTCAATCAAACTCTGGTTGAGTTACTTCTCGACTGTTATACAAATAACTCTAACTGTGATCTCTTTAACATTATTATGGATCCCGAACGCGCACATCATGGCACCGGTATGTCGTGCATTGAATGTAATTAAGGGTTTGTGTTTTAATTGGTGTGATTTGTGGTGCAGATAAGCCCAGAGGTGAACCCCTCCCCACATACGTCGGTGTGTTCGGCTCGTCGACGCTGTCGTCCGCCTCCCGAATCTACACTCATATGTTGTTATCGTATTTGGGAGGCGAAGAGCTGTCACCCGACGTGACCAAAGAGAACTGCACTCAACAAAACAAGGAGAGCCGGGTAGGTATCCACCAGACTATTGGCATTGGTTTAGCGTTTAATGTTTGCTTATTTGTGTGTTTTTAATAGCAATTTAGCTTTTACTGGATGACCGGCGCCCGTAACGGAACGTGCATTAAGTCGCAGGCCATCAAAACGGACGCCTTGTCGCCCGCGTTCCTGTCCGAGGGTCAGGTGACTGATGAGCGCCTATACTCGACGTGGACGGAGAGTCGATGGACGGGCGGCAAAGTCCGCATTTTTCTAATGCCCAGCCCTCTCCAGCAATGGCTTACGCTTATCGCTGGCCTCATATTGACGTTAATCTCCTTTGTTTTCATTTATATGATCGACAAAAACTCTGTAATATTGTTCGAGCGCATGGATGTGGCGAACGTTCCCCAGCAGTCGCTAACAGTGGGCTTATAGCCCGCGGATTAGTCCCTCAAATCCCTGTTCTTATACTCAATCGTTCCCTTAATCCCGACGATTAATACCAGAAGATTGAGTACAACGAGAGCGCCGACTGTAATGGAGTATTGAACCAAATATGAGATGATTTTTGTGATTAACATTACCGACTAATTTGACAAATAATTTATTTTATTTTAATAATTGATTTTCGATCGCAGCATAAGTTATTTGAAATTAAAACCACTAATCAAACCAATAATTTTTACGTACGGTATGTACGGTACCGTATATACAGTATATTTAGTCTATTATTTATATTAATTATGATTCCATTTTTCGTGTATATTTTTATGGATTTAAATAATTCTTAATATTTTTTATTATGTAAGATATTGTTATGATTATTATCAAGTGTTTAGTAAAGTGTCTGAAGTCTTGAGATTATGATTTCGCGAACCATTCTTTTTGTATACAAATTGGATATGAAATAAATGAATCACTTATTTTCTAATTTAAATAAATGTGTTTTTTTCTCATAAAAGCGAATTTTAAATCACAAACAATAGTGAAATTATACGCAAAGTAAATTTCCAACATTTATTATTTGCTTAAAAAGTCTTATTATTGTCATTCCTTTCAATTTTACTCGATATTTGCATAAGATTTTGATCCTTTAAAAGCAGTGGAAAACTTTTGTGCTCTTCATATCGATTATTATTATTACAAAATATTATTTGTAGAGTTTATTTGTTTTTTGCACAAATTCTGTGCTACAGAATATTCACAGATTTTGTATATAGCATTAAAAGTATTATATTGTTCGTTAAAGTGTGACTGATATCGAAAGTTCATTATATAAGCAATTCATTAGGAATTTCATTAATTAACAAAAAAAATTAGACTTATATTAAAAAATTGATTTTTAATAAGCATTTTATACGAGCAAACACTACCGGTATAAACGAGCCTTTAATGTGTAATTAATACGAAATTAATATAATATTCAGTTCATGTGAAAAGTTGATGAATGTGTGCAATCGATCCCTTCCCGCCCCCTACACATCCCTATCCCCTCTCAATACACGGAATGATGTAATAGAGAGAGAATGTACTGAAAAGAAAAGTATCTCTGAATTCATGAGATATTTTTATAGCAATTATCAAAACAGACAATTATTTTGAGTATTTAATAGAGAAGTCGTGAAAAATCGTGTTTCCATAGAGTCTTATGTCTTATGGCAAATACAATGCTATCAGTAGTGGTTTATTCTCTCTCTATCCCTCTCTCCTCTTCTATATAAAAGACATTGAAATCTATTTTTCTTTATTTTTCTCTCGAAAGAGGTTTTCGTGAATGAAATGCATTGAGAAGAATGAGGAGAGAGAGAGAGAGAGAGAGAGAGAGTCTTGACTGAAGAATTAGTGAATGAATGTTAGTCTCTAAGAGTTTGTGCAGAAGTAGTGCTGAAGAATCTCTACTAAAAGGGATGAATATGTATGGATTGTATGGATGGCAACACATATACTGTACTATTATAGCCATTCAATTACATGTATATCTGCGCTCATAGAGGATGGCAGTGCTGGTGATGGCACTGAGAGGGCTGGTAGGGCTGGTTATACGCGTAGAGCACAGGCAGTGCACAGGCATTCCTGTGTGCAGTACAGGCAGTGCCAGCAGTGGTGGTGTTTCACATACAGTAAGCGATGCCCTAAACTGTCATTCAGTTGCACTACAGTCTGCTGAGTGCTATGGAGTCACACATAGCGTACAAACAGTGCTAACCATTCAATACATTCAATGCAAACACAACTCACAAACCATTGAGTAGTGAGTGATTGGGAAGTGTTTGTGAACCAAACCAGTGATCAGTCGCTGTTGTCTTCGCCGAGGAAGCCGTTGGACGCCACCACCACTCGCACCGGAGACTACTCAATATCATGTACGAGCTGTTGGTGGCCATCAGCCAATCCCCCGTCAATGGCCGTCAATAACCAGCGCACTGTCGGTCACCACCACATCCACCGTCAGACACACAGCAACACCATCACCACCACCGCCGCCAACAACAACCACAACAACCACAGTATCTCCAGCCCATTGATCGGTTCCCGCACCGCAGCGAAGCCCATGTCTGGCCCGTCATCGGCCTCGTCGTCGTCGGCCGGCAACACGATGTCGACCAACATATCGGCGCTTTTCACGCGGATCCAACAGTCGCTCACCGAAGCCATGTCTCAGCCGAAGTTCATAATAGACAAGCGAACCATCGAGAAGACGTGGAAACTGATGGACAAAGTGGTGAAACTGTGCCAACACTCGAAGATGAATCTGAAGAACTCGCCGCCATTCATATTAGACATACTGCCCGACACTTACCAACACTTGCGAACCATATACACGCGACACGAGGACCGCATGCATGTGCTGAACGACAACGAGTACTTCCGCGTCTTCATCGACAACCTCAACCGAAAGTGCAAACAAGCGATCAAACTCTTCAAAGAGGGGAAGGAGAAGATGTTCGACGAGTCCAGTCATTATCGCCGAAATCTCACCAAATTGTCGCTCGTCTTCAATCACATGCTGTCCGAGCTGAAGGCCGTCTTCCCGAACGGCAACTTCGCTTCCGCCGACACCTTCCGGATCACCAAATCCGACGCCAACGAGTTCTGGAGGTCGGCGTTCGGCGACAGGTATGAGTTGTCTTAGTTTTTGTTGCGGTTTTTGTCTCAATTGATCCGTTCAGTTTGTTGTTGTGTCAGTCATCTGATTGTGTCCACGAGTTTTGGCGATTGCTTGTCGTCCACCCAATGGATTGTATCAATCAATCTGTGGTTAAATTATTTTTGTTTGTTTTTTATTTTTAATAGTTTTCTTGTTTTACAATTTCTCTCTCTCTCTCTCTCTCTCTCTCTCTCTCTCTCCACTTCTCACTTCATTTAATCAGTTTTCGACTTAAAAAGTCATTTGATTACCATTTTTGCCTTATTATAGCGCTTCTCATAAGTTATTTTCATAAATAGCTTTTTGTGTGAATTTTTCGCTTCAATTCAAATCAATTGTTAGGAAACAAACATTTTTTCCCATTTAATTGATTTGTTATTCTGTCGACTATTTCTATGCGAAAAATAATTTTATGATTACTTTTTTCGCTTTGATTTATTCATACAGATTTTTACTGTATACTCAGTAATACAAACAAATTTATATCAATTTGTGAAATGTATTGATAATTAGCTCCACTATTTAATGGCTGTATATTTAAAGTCACTTTTGCTATAAAATTACTATAAACTACAAAAAGCTTTTATGTCTCTATTTTCCCCACTCATACCCAACAGTCATCATAACTATCACGAAATCAATTCAATTGTGCGAAAAAGTTATATCAATTCAATTATCGACGCATAGAAAAGTTCCTAGTTTTACGTTTTTTGAATACATTTTGGGTATTATTTTGGGTCTGAAAACAAGATTTATTGTCTTAATTATACGCTATTATTGCTATTATAATGATTTACAATATACGAGATATAATATATAAACAGTTTATTATAATTTTTTTTCTTAAATGAAGATAAAAATTAAAACAATTTATTCCATTCATTATTAATAATCCCACTGAGACTCAGAGAGAGAGAGAGAGAGAGAGAGAGAGAGA